GAAAGAAGGCAGCACCCTCTCCTAGCACAGGCCGCCAGACTACCGATACGGTGGCGAGGGCCTTCCGTGTCTTGCGGTTAGGAGTCACCCGTCCGTCCTTCACCACACGATTGTATATTACACAAGCAATCGTATCCCTTATGAACCAACGTAGTGGAACGTCCCAAGCCGCCTCGGCGGACACTAAAATCGCCGGGGCGAGAGCCTAGCTCCTCACGCTCACGGGGAGCGTCCTCTTACTTTCTGCTGTTGGACATAATGAAAATGAAAATCTTCTTTTATAATTTATACATTGACGACGGCCCGTATTCGAAGCGAAATGTGTACTTTTTGTTAACTATTTTAATTTCAAACATGATACGTGAAGTTTACGTAGGAGGGGTCTGATCCATAATAAAAACAATCATTTCCCACTTTTTCTGCTAATCTAACGGCGCACCAATAATTCAGCGTGAAACCGACACAAAATTTTTTTTTTTTGTTAGATAAATGGTGTGCGTTATAATACACAACGTCTCCGACCGTAAAATGTTTCGTAATTTTATCTATTATTTTTCCGGCATGCTGTTCAAGTTATGGGCGACTATTGTTTACATCGTCAGCAGTCGCCGTGTTTACATGTACGACCATCCAGTCACTAGGTCGCTTCGCCTCTCGATCTACGTGTAGGAAGGTGGGTAACCGTTTTTTCATTACGACGGTTACGCAATACAAATAGTATTGACGGTATTTTTGTATCCCAGATGCTATGGTTGCCCTCTACCAGTAGGGCGTAGAGACATTTTTTTGCTCCTGATTTTTCCGTTCTACCTGGTTTCCTCTTAGTCGATTATTATTTCCCGACGGTCTATTTGGCCTTTAACGATGTCAGTGTTGCTCCGCGCTATAACGGTATGGGGTTGGCGGTACGTCCACGTTCGTATAACCCATTGGCTGTCGGGCCGCTGGTTGAGGATTTGCCGTGGAGGCAGTTTGGCTGACTGTCGGGACGTTGGCGAAGCGTACCGAAGAGCCACGGTCTTATCTATATCGTGCGCTATCTCACGTAGATCAGCAAAAGACGCTGGGTGCATTAACCGTATCATAGCGCGGTAATCGACTTGTAAAAGCCCCGTTAATTATGGCACAAGTTAACGGCTAACTATACATCCAATACGTAAACGAGAGTAGACAATAATTAAATAACAAATAATTACATATATTAGAAATTCCTCAGAGAGCATCTTAAATTTAAGGGGTAACGGGAGGCCATTAAATACTAGTGGCCGGCGAATTGGCATAAAACATATAGTTAATCTCAATTAAAAGAAACAATAAATAACATTAAAAATAATATAAAACTCAGCTGTATAGATGACGCTGTTGATGGTGATGAGTGGACTGTATGAGATCTTGTGGTAATGGTGTCGAACATCTGAGTATGAAGAGTCAGAGTGTAAATTCAGGCACGTAATGGCAGATGTGAATAGATTACGGTAATGAAGATGTTTAGTGATGGTCAGGGCCCAATCACTAGTAGCGTGTAAGGGCACGTAAACTTTGAGCACAAGGGTACAATAAAAAAGTAATAAAAAACTATGGCGTACAACGGCTGGATAATTTACCATTCATGCGAAGGCGCTTGTTACAGAAAAGAGTGACACAAAAAAACAATAGACTGACTGACTTACGACAATAAACTGTACACGAATGACAATCGACACTTAGGTCATCAATTCGCCATGATAGGTGAGCAAGGGGGCGAGTAATCTGTTAATCCAAATAAAGCAGACGTTGTTTTGTTCGCTAGAATAGCACCAGTCAGAACACCTGACTGAAAAAGGAGGATTTGTAATATATACAGAAGGATTTAAAAAATCAGGAAAGGTAGGTGCTGGCATTTGGGAAAGAATAAATGTCACAGCATGTCATTCGGCACAATACCCTCTGTTTTTTCAAAAAAAAAAAAGCAGAGGTTCAAAGCAGAAGTGATGACGATACTGGAAGGGGCTCAGAACCTGAAGGTATACAAGAATAAGAAGATAACTCTCTTAAGTGACATTCAAGCGGCTTTGGAAGCACTCTGTAATAATCAGGTGAATTCAAAACTTCTTCTCGAATTCAGGGAAACTTTAGAATCACTATCGGGATTCAACAAAGTTACACTAGCGTGGGTATCAGCACACAAAGGTGTCACTGTAAATGAAAATGCTGAATTTCTAGTCAGGATAGGAGCAGAGAACACCTATGTTGGACCAGAACCAGTAGTAGGACTCACTGAGCAATCGTTTTATGTACTCCCTAAGATTTGGTTCAGAGAAAAACACTGGGCAATCTGGAAGTACTTGGTAACGTCTAGACAATCCAAAATGTTTATCATGAACTTCGGTCTACTACTGGGTGGTCTTAATAAAATGAATAGTCATCAAATAAATACTTTGACTGGTCTACTGACAGGACATGGTCACTTGCTTAAACATTTTTACACAATGGGGGTATCGGAATCACCATTGTACAGAAAGTGTGGAGTAGAAGAGGAAGATTCATTTTACATTATGCGTGTATGTGAAGCCTTGTCCACACTAAGATCAAACTACTTGAGTAAACCTTTTCTGAAAAATAAGATATAAAAAACCTTAAACTCAGATTTCGCTGGAAAGACAGGACTTTTTGGTCATCGATAGGAGTAATTTGATGGTCAACCATTATACAATGATAAGTATAATGTAATAACACTTAGGTTGGTAATCTGAATATAGATTATTCGGTATGAGGTGCGTACAACGAACCAACAGGTCTGAGTGCTTAGGCATTATGTCCACCTCAATAAAAACCAAATCTAAAATTAAAAAACACATATTTTAAACTAGTTTATACATTTTATTCTGTCATTTAAAATAGTTATCTTCTTATTTTTCTATTACTTCAGGTTCTGAGCTCCTATCAGTATCGTCATCACTTCTGCTTTGAACCTCTGCTCTTTTTTTTTTTGAAAAAACAGAGGGTATTGTGCCGAATGACATGCTGACATTTATTCTTTCCCAAATGCCAGCTCCTACCTTTCCTGATTTTTTAAATCCATCTGTATATATTACAAATCCTCCTTTTTCAGTCAGGTGTTTTGACTGGTGTTATTTATCAAGTGTTATTCTAGTGAACATAACAAATCTGTATAGTGTTTAGACTATGTTCTGATAAGTCTATGATAGTGTCTGGGAATTTACCCACCACTCCTATAACTAAGTCGTGTGCATAGGCTTGTGTCTAACAGTATTTGTTTAACTCTTTAATAAGCGAATCCAATACTAGAAACCATAGCAAGGGGGATAGGTCCCCGCTTTGTGGGCATCCCTATTGAACACTCTTAATTACTTAGGTCACATTGAGCTATCCCAAAATGGAGCGTTTCTTAAGCATGGATTCTATCCACTTAGTAATAAGTTGTTCTATTCCATGCTGTTGTGCAGATTAACAAATAACATCGAAAGGAGTATTGTCAAATGCCTTTTCAATGTCCAGGAATATACCTACTGCATAAATTTTATTTTCTACAGCGTTCTTTATCTCAGTGGTTAAGCAGTGCAGAGCTGTATGAATAGATTTTACTGTTTGATACGCATGTTGGTCCACAGGTGGCGCCCGTTTCTTAGGTTTGCTCTCCATATTTCCTTTTGGATCCGTGGAGAGGTTCCCTTCAGCTGTAGCTGTTATTGAGGGTGGTGGTTTCCTGGGACCCTTTCCCTTACATAACCCATTTCCTCACTTCCCTTTCGAGACATGAGTGAAGTGCGTCCGTTTGTTTCTTACCTGTAACTTACCTCCTTTTCTAAGTGTTACTGGTCATTCTTCAGCCGTCTTCTTTCCAGATTTTTGAAGAGTAGATTTTTTCACAACCTTCTGGGCTGGTGGCTGCTTTGCAACATAAACCAAGAGTTATGAATTGGTTGTACACTTCAGTGATTAAACCTATGATATTGTACGGTACCATAGTCTGGTTGACCATAACGTTACAGCTAGGAAAGAACATAGTTGCATACACAGAATGGCCACCATAGTCATCACTGGATCATTAAGAACTACACTCTAATACGGTAGTATATTTTATAACTGTCCCCTACAATTCATTAACTACGCCCATATCTGGGTTTCTATCACAATTAACCAATCATAATAATTATTCAACATATCAGGAATTTCAATAGTGATCGCTAGCTAACTTTATCCGCCATATAAAAAGTCACTTTTTTTCATAAAAAACTCTCTCTCAGGCATCTCTATAGAAGTTTGCTGCTGCTGCTTTTCCTGTACGCTTACTCTCCACTCTGAGCTATTGCTCATGATCATTATTTTCTTACATGGAATATGCTTTAATATAAGTAAAAATTTTGTCCTTACGATTTTTTTTTTTAGCTTCGATGAGAATCTGAGAATGCATTGATTTTACTAAGATGTGTTTTTTTTTTATGTCTGTTGCCACTTTTTCTCAGCTCTCACTAGACTGATTTCTTACAATGATACGTCAAAAGATCACAAATTGTATCTAGTCAAAGACATCAAAATTGAAAAAAATTCCCTCATTCCCCGTGAATGGGGTAAAACCTCCAAAAAATTACAAATTTAAAAATCGCTAATATTCGAAATTTTTTCAATTTTTTTACTTAAAATTGCTATAACTTATTTAAAACCAATTTGTCAATATAATTTTTTTTCAGATAATTGCATGATATCATTACCTTTCATTTGGTATATTTTTTATGTTAATTTGACATTTATCTACCCACAGAAGAGGATTTAAAATGACAACTTTTTCACAAAAAATTAACTTTTTCAACTTAACTATACTGTGCCGCGAACCCCCTGTGACGGGTTATTATTATTTTTATATTTTTTTAATTATTTCACTGTTACTCATACAATATACTGTACGTTTATTGTATCTTTTCAAAAAAGCCGACTGGCGTTAATGAATAAATAAATAATATTTTAATAACAATTGTGTTAAAAAATTATTTATATGTTCTTTTATTTCTTAATTATTTATACATCATTTCCACAATACTATTTTATAATTTTACTGTTATAACACTTAAATAAAATTCTTAATAAACAATTTTAAACATTTTTTTATGATTTTTACTTTAAATTGTTAATTAATAATAATACAATATATTTAATAAAATGTTATTTTAGACTAATTAAAAAGTGGTTGAAAATAAACTTATTTCACAAATAACTTTTACAAAATTATAGTAGAACAATTATGAAATATTATCCTTTTTTAATTTGCTATTTGAGTTGTATTTCTTAATCATCACCTAATCAGACAACATAAAAAAATGTTCACTATTATTTTAATACAAAACCTTAAATAGATAATAATAATTATAATAAAAAACAATAAATTTAATTAATAAACACGAAACAAAATTTTATTTCTCCAAAATTAATTATAAAATTTTTTTTAACTGCATGAAGAATATTTACTAATGGAATATTTTTAAAAATTTTAATTTTTCCAATACGAATTAAAAAAATATATATTTAATGTATAATTTAAAGTTATTTAGTTAGGTACTAACTTGTATTTTGAGGAGTCGTATTGTCATCTATACAAATAAATAAACATTAAATTAGCGATTTTAAACATATCATATATAAAATTATGTATAATTATGTAAACAAGTTCAATAATGATAATATAAATAAAAAATACAATTCTTTTAAAAAATCAATGTAATCAATAAATACGATTTTCAATAATATAATATAAAAAATAAGAAAAAAATTAATATTATAAAAGCTCAATAATATGGCTAGTAAATCAAATAAAAAATCAGAATTGTCTAATTTGTTTGAAAGTGTTCTATTGGGAGGAACATGCACAATCCTTTCGAGGAGCGTGCATATTAAAATTAATAAAAATAAAGGAAATTAAAATTTTTAACGGTACACTAAACGGTATACAGACAGTAATTCAAGAAAATCAATAGTATTATTTAATAGTTCAAAAATATTTTAATATCATAATTAAATATTTTATTATATAAATTTTCCAATATTATCATTTAAGTACACACTTATATCTAGAGAAGTTGTATTTTCATCTAAAAAAAAATTAAACAATGAATTAGCGATATATTTATTAAAATATCTAATATTAAATCTACCCAATATGTTATTCAGAGACAATTATTAAAAGTAAAATTTAAAATTCTTTATTCAATCACTTACGTGATTCTTGAAGAGTTATATTGGCATCTAAATAAAAGTATAAAACTTGAAATAGCGTTGTTCAATCATATCCATCGCAACACTAAAACCACCAAAGTATACATAGCTCTTTTTATTTGCATGGCCGTAAATGCACTACACATTGAAATTGTTTCAGATTTAACTTCGGACATTTTTCTTGCCGCCCTTGACTGATTTGTAGCTCGTCGGGGAATTCTGTTAAACTTATATAGCGATTGCGGTAGCAATTATATTGGAGCGTCGCGTCAATTAAAATCTCTTTTTGCGAATGAGGCCGTACAAAACGCAATGATCGCACGAATCCCATGTAATTGACACTTCAATCCTCCCGNTTAATGTATAATTTAAAGTTATTTAGTTAGGTACTAACTTGTATTTTGAGGAGTCGTATTGTCATCTATACAAATAAATAAACATTAAATTAGCGATTTTAAACATATCATATATAAAATTATGTATAATTATGTAAACAAGTTCAATAATGATAATATAAATAAAAAATACAATTCTTTTAAAAAATCAATGTAATCAATAAATACGATTTTCAATAATATAATATAAAAAATAAGAAAAAAATTAATATTATAAAAGCTCAATAATATGGCTAGTAAATCAAATAAAAAATCAGAATTGTCTAATTTGTTTGAAAGTGTTCTATTGGGAGGAACATGCACAATCCTTTCGAGGAGCGTGCATATTAAAATTAATAAAAATAAAGGAAATTAAAATTTTTAACGGTACACTAAACGGTATACAGACAGTAATTCAAGAAAATCAATAGTATTATTTAATAGTTCAAAAATATTTTAATATCATAATTAAATATTTTATTATATAAATTTTCCAATATTATCATTTAAGTACACACTTATATCTAGAGAAGTTGTATTTTCATCTAAAAAAAAATTAAACAATGAATTAGCGATATATTTATTAAAATATCTAATATTAAATCTACCCAATATGTTATTCAGAGACAATTATTAAAAGTAAAATTTAAAATTCTTTATTCAATCACTTACGTGATTCTTGAAGAGTTATATTGGCATCTAAATAAAAGTATAAAACTTGAAATAGCGTTGTTCAATCATATCCATCGCAACACTAAAACCACCAAAGTATACATAGCTCTTTTTATTTGCATGGCCGTAAATGCACTACACATTGAAATTGTTTCAGATTTAACTTCGGACATTTTTCTTGCCGCCCTTGACTGATTTGTAGCTCGTCGGGGAATTCTGTTAAACTTATATAGCGATTGCGGTAGCAATTATATTGGAGCGTCGCGTCAATTAAAATCTCTTTTTGCGAATGAGGCCGTACAAAACGCAATGATCGCACGAATCCCATGTAATTGACACTTCAATCCTCCCGCCCCCCCTCATATGGGTGGAATATGAGAGGCTGGCATTAAAAGTGTAAAACACCATTTAAAACGAGTTATTGGTATTCAAGTACTAACCTATGAAGAAATGNCGGTATTCAAGAACTAACCTATGAAGAAATGGAAACGTAAGTAATTCGTATCGAAGGTATACTCAATTCTCGTCCTCTGATACAAGCTTCAGCAGATCTACTCATGATCTACTCGCATTAACCCCCGGCCATTTTTTAATAGGACAACCTATTCTGTCTTTACCCGAAACTGACGTTACTGCAGTACCTATGAACCGCTTAACACGCTGGCAACT